AATAAATTTATAAAAATGAAAATCTAAGTGCTATATATTTCCTAGAAAAGACTTCAGACAGTAAATACACTAGAGCATGGGCGGACCCAGGAAGGAAGTTCAGTGGGGGTGAAACCAAAAAACCTTGGAAAAAAATCTGGACAAAAAAACTAAAAAAATCTAAAGAAAAATCGGAAAATTTGAAAATTGAGTGGGGGCGGCGGCCCCCCACTAGTCCTCAAGTAGGTCCGCCCCTGCACCAGAGAGGGAACAACTATGGTAGTCTCCGATATTATTTAGCAACAAAGTCGATTGTGAACACCTATAGAAAATTGAAGGCACATCCTTTTTTTTCAGTTATTAGTTTCAAAGGGAGAAAATTGAAGGCACATCCTTTTTTTTCAGTTATAAGTTTCAAAGGGGTCTGCGATCAGCAAGAAATCGATTACAGTTTGGAGCATGATAAAACCAAGTAAAAATCTGTGTCATAGAAGGATTTTGTGCGAGTATTCTAGTCAATCATCCACTTATTTAAGAAGTAAAGGAGACTGTTGAATACCTTTGAGGTTGATGAAATTACTTATGTTCGGGTCTTTGGTTGTAAGAAGAATTAGGTTGTTAGGCACCAAATAATATTTATTTTGAAGGGCTGGGCAGGGGATTTACTTTCTGGTTATTAAACAAAGAAAAGAGGAGTAGAAGAAAAAGAAGAAGCATTGTTAGGCTTCACAGGGTTCAGTCGTCCTTCAACAGAATCAATTAGGCTTCAAAAGATCAAGAAAGTTTCTTGAAATATTAATACTGGGCAAGAACTCAAGCATTTATAAACCTCAAATAATTTTATACTGCACAGCTCCAACAAATTTCAGAGTCTAACTAAAACTCAGACGCACTTAAGAAACTCAAATAATTAAGCCTTTATTCCTTAAAACACCATTGGAATTCCTTAATATCAAAAATAAAAGACTAATAATAACACCTTAAATCAAATTACAGAACTTTTCCAGTGTGAATTTCTCAGATCACCCACAGAGACGTACATGAACAATCCTAAAGGATCAAATTATTGATTTATCCAAGGTCCAGTGTGAATTTCTCAGATCACCCACAGAGACGTACATGAACAATCCTAAAGGATCAAATTATTGATTTATCCAAGGTCCATATGTACTACACCTGGAGATTATTCAGATTCCAAACTTTACCTCTTCATTACTTTTCCTTTTCCTTGAGCTTCAAAGACACTGCATAAACAACAGAAACTTGCTATATAGGGTGTGAGAGAGCCTAGATTGAGTAGAGAGGCTTCCAATTATTTATCACCGCCAGCATTCATGAATTCAAATGATTCAACAATTAATACTCCATATTCTTGGGGATTCTCCTATTAGTTGGTGGGTGTCTAAGGGGCAGGTCATCCATTCTTTCAGCACCCAGCCCTCTATCCTCACATCCCAACTGCCATGTCTCAAGCACACTATTACAGTAAGGGAAAAACACAGAAT